AAAAAAATTATATCCAAACATGTTATTAGACATGGCCACGGGCCGAACCAGTCCGTGGCCCGACCCGCGAACCGGCATCGGACCGGCCCGGAACCGGCCTCCTAAGGGCCGGTTCGTTGAACCGGAACCGTAGGGCCGCGGTTCACTCCCGGTTCTATTTTTTTTTATTTTTGTCCCGCCGGGCCAGGCCAATTTTTTTGCTTTTCTTAAGGGTCGTACCGGCCCGTGAACCGCTGGGCTGGTGAACCGGCCCTTGGTTCTTAGCGGGCCGGTCGCGGTCCGGGTGTTGGACGGCCCGTGGCCCGACGGGCCGGGCCTTGGCCCGACACCTGGTCACGTCTGCATGCTATCCAGTATTTTAGATCTCATATTTCTTAAAAAAAAGTTGTTATAATATTATTTTTGCTACATTCGATATATTGCACGGTGACTGCGGTGGGCGCCAGTGTTGGACAAATGTTCAAGGCAAAACTCACCATGATTAAAGTCTTTGGACATAGCGGTCAGCTTGTTTGAACGACCCTAAAGGGGGGTCGAGCGAATGTTCAAGGCAAAATTAATCACCATAATTAAGACTTTTAGGCTGGGTGGTCGCTTGTTTGAACGATCCCACAGGGGATTAGTTAAGTGTTCAAGGCAAAACTCACAATGATTCTCACGATCAACAACATGATTGAGGATTTGCAAACGACCTATGACACCAGCAACTGGGGCGTGCGCGGGAGAGTTCACGGAGGACGTGGAGGCCGTGGTCCAGGCAGGGCGCCCGTCGGAGATCTCTACAACCACCGTCCTGCGACGAATATGGCGGGGAGAAAATATCGGAGGTGAACCTCTTTGGTGATTATCAACCTCCGCACGTCGAGGCTGACCCCTTCGCTGCATACGTTGCCCATGACATGCGGCGATCGGGCCCGAGTGGACAACAACGATCAACGCGACGACAATGGCAAACAAAAGGAGTCTGGCTTAGCAAGCTGATATCGTGCCCAACGTGATTGGGGACTTGAACGTGATTGTGCCGACTTCGCGTGGTTCGACCGGCAGCAACACAATTGGGATTTTAGGTAGGTGTTTTAGCTTGTCAAGGAGCCGAAGACTTCGGGCCTATGAAGAGGTAATTGATTGCAAATATGGTCGATGGGAGGGCCTGTTTCACGTTGACATTCCCAAATTCGAAGAAAATAAAGTTGACGGATCATTGTGCGACGGTCCACTGATTTTCTAAGAGGAGCCTTCGGGGCTGAAAGAATTCCACCATGTTTCAGGTCTCCAAAATTCAATTGTTGGAAGAATTTGGTGTTTGGTTGGTCACATATGATCTCCCAGGCTTTGATGAAAGTGATCCTCATCTTAACAAAAATCTTCGCTCATTTGCTCTGGATATATTATATTTGACACATTTTGTGGGAGGAAATAGAGGTTTGGGAATAGTAGGCTCTCTTGTCAAAAAACTTCATTGGTACTCAGTCATGTTCCTGCGTGTCTTGTTGACAAAAGTTGTCAATAGGCAGAGGCCGGTTCCATTTGAGATTGGCGTTTGTACATGTGTGAGACAATGGATGACGCCGCGAGATGCGGATTCGATGGCGAATCCTCTCTAACGGGGGGAAAATAATGTAGACGAGATATCGTCTAACATCATTAATTTATGAGATATATTTATTTTCTTTTATATTTAGTATTTAATTTGTAAGAGAATAATTATTAGTCTTATTATTGGTATTATAATATTTAGTAAAATATCCTATCTTGTTGGACAAGTTAAGAGTAGAGTTTATGAGCCTTATTTGAAGGACTTCTCTTTTTTTGTGTTCTTCAGTTGAAGTTGATTATGAATATAAAAGATCCATTATATTGTGTTTAGGTGTTTTAGAAATTACGGTCTCATTAATATTGCCTCACTCGTACGCTTTCCTACATCATCGCTCTTCCGACAAGGACCACTTTAAGGTCGAGCCTCCGTTGGGTCATCCGAGGACTCGAGTACAGCCTGTGTGCGCACCGAACCTCTGTTTGAATCCGGTCTGGTTATGATTGTCCCTCATCTGGTCAATCCAACGACGAGCTATCCCTACAGGTTGAGCTCGGCGTCCGCTCGCTCCCATTCCCAAAAACTCGCTTTCATGATGTTCTCCGAGCTCCATCCTTAGTGATTATCGCCTACTCAATTGCGTTAATCAACGTTGTATTCGTCCAACTCAGCTCGGATGGCAACAATACTAAAATTAAAACAAGACTAGTGAGAAATTTCACAACCAGTTCGAAACATATATATAATGATTATCAATCTTAGTTTAAAAAGATAATATTGAATTAAATCAGTTGTCCATTATGGTGGCCGCCCCAGCCACTTTGTTATATATTATATTATATAATATGTTGTTATCTTTAGCATTATTTAGTCTTTGTCGGCCGCATAAGAACATGTTTAGCATACTATCGAAAGCCATTAGTGTGTCACTATGACTTAAACTATAAATTTCACAATTTTAGCGATACTTTATAATTTCGGTGGTCAATTTATGTCCCTTTAATTATTGTACTTTAGAATTTCCATATTAGGCATATCAATTTTCAAGGAAACAAAATACCAATTATTAGGCATATTATTTAACTGACAGGAAAAACAATATTACAATTTTATTATTATACAAACTAGTATGTAACCCGTGCGATGCACGAGCTAGTATATGTTTTGAAATATTTTAAAAAATTAAAAGATCATTAATTAATAAGTTATTATAATATGTATCTATATAAATATAAAAAGGTATGGTATTTACCTGAAATAGAAGTAAAAATCCCGCCTAAAAATTTAAAACTTACTAATCTTGGTACTTTTTTTTTCAGAAATTTTGAAAAATCCCGCCACTGGTCATTAATTTCGAAATTTAAAATTGTTTTGAATTCATTTTGTGGTAACTTTTGTTAATTATAGGAACAAATCTGATTATGAATTGCATTATAAAAAAATATATTTCTTAATTAAATAATTCAGTCCCAACATTCCAAATATTGGAATAATTTAGTAAAAAATTTAACTCTAATACCTAATAAAATGATTAAGTCACAAAATTTATTTCTGTATATCAATTATAGAAATCTCTCCCAAAATTATTGGGTGGAAATAAACTGCCGATCAAAATAACATCAGATCAAAATCATATCCAAGTTTATTCTTTCTCGCAATCTCTCCGAAAATCATATCCAAACAGATCAGGGCCAAATTAATTCTCCTAAAATCAAATACAAAACCATTTCTTCGATCAGGGCTCGACATGAAGAGATGGGCACGGTGGAGCTCCATCGGGTCTACTCCGTGCTCGATGAACGACGATGGCAACATCAGCGGGGAGGAGCTCTCGGGATATGCCTGTCGGAGGAGAAGTTGCAGTCGATGATTGGAAAATGGAAAGATTGATGTAGATTGGGACGCCTAGGTGGATGACGAGGAGTTCGACGCCCTGTACGCGGCGGCATTAGAAGCTGGCGACGGCGACGATGGGGATGACGGTGAAGAGGACGTGCGGGAAGCGTTTTGGGTTTTCAATCGTGGAGGGGTGGGTTCATCACCGCGGATGGGCTGAGGTTGGTGTCGGCGACGTTGGGGTTGAAGACGTTGACGACGCCGAATGAGTACCGGAGGATGATCGTCAGAGTCGACTTAGGTGGCTACTGGAGGGTGAACTTCGGCGACT